CCCTGGCATGGGGGACAAGATAACTACCTTTAGTGTCCCTTGATATATCAGAAAAATATGTCCAGAGTTGTCAATTAATGGATTTATTAATTTAAATAGTTCCATACCTCCATAAAACCTGGGGCAAGCAGGACCCAAGATTGGGTCCTGTCATATGTGCTTGTGAAGGGGAAATGTAGGAGCCAGCCATGATAAGCTATATATGAAAAGATCACCCAAAGGAAGTTCTTTACTTCCAACCATTATCACTTGCCAGTGTAGGACTCAGCCATCAAAAAATTTAATAGAGGCCTGAGTCTCAGTAGTTTACCCTGAAGCAATACCTGTTTGCAGGAAGAACCACAAGCTGAGATTACCCAACCACCACCCAAGAACAGACCATCAAACATTCTAACCACTGTAAATAGGACCACCTGTCAGCACACACTCACCAGGACACCCCTAGACAAATGTCAGCCAATCAAGGGTCCTGAACCTCAGAAACCCCTCACCCCCACCTTTACTACTATATAAAAACCCAATTCTAACTGAGCTTGGGGCTCTCCGTTTATTCCAATGCGTTGGACATGCAGAGAGACCAAGTTTGCAAACTTGCATAAAATAAAGGCTCTTTGCTTTTACATAGGGGGAAAAAAAATCCTGCAAAAATACTCAATAAAGTACTGGCAAACCAAATCCAAGAACACATCATAAACATCATCCACCATGATCAAGTAGGCTTCATCCTAAAAGTAAAGGGATAATTCAACATATGAAAATCCATCAAAGTAATCACCATATAAATAAACTGAAAGAAAAAAAAACACATGATCATCTCATTACAACACCCCTTCATGATAAAGGTCTTGGAAAGATCAGGAATACAAGGAACATTCCCAAACATAATAAAGGCAATGTACAGCAAGCCAACAGCCAACATCAAACAAAATGGAAAGAAACTCAAAATGATTCCAATAAAATCAGGAACAAGACAAAGCCGTCCACTCTCTCTATGTCTATTCAACATACTACTTGAAGTCCTAGCTAGAACAATAAGAGAACAAAAGGAGATCAAAGGGATACAAACTAGAAAGAAAGAAGTCAATTTTTTGCTATTTGCAGATGATATAATAGTATATATAAGTGACCCTAAAAATTCTACCAGGGAACTCCTACAGTTGATAATAAACACCTTCAGTAATGTGGCAGGATACAAGATTAACTCAAAAAAAAATCAGTAGCTCCATGTATACAGATGATAGACAGTATAAGAAAAAAAAAATCAGAGAAACATCACCTTTTACAAGAGCTACCAACATAAAATATCTTGGGGTAACTCTAACCAAACTAGTGACAGACCTGTATGACAAGAACTTTAAGTCTTTGAAGAACAAAATTAAAGAGGATATCAGAAAATACAAAGATTTCCTATGCTCATGGGTTGGTAGGATTAATACAGTAAAAATGACAATGTTACCAAAACCAATCAATGCAAAAGCCATCAAAATCCCAGCACAATTTTTCACAGACCTCGAAAGAACAATACTAAATTTCATATGAAAAAACTAAAAAACCCAGGATAGTTCAAACAACCCTGTACAATAAAGTACCATCCCTGACTGTAGCTTTGTATACAGGTTGGTATTGGCATAAGAATAGACAGGTAAACCAATGAAATTGAATGGAAGACCCTAATATTAACCCACATACCTATGAACAACTTTTTTTTGACAAAGAAGCTAAAACTATAAAATGGAAAAGAAAAGGCATCTTCAACAAATGGTGCTGGTATAACTGGATGTCAACATGTAGAAGAATGCAAATAGAGCCAGGCAGTGGTGGCGAAGGCCCTTAATCCCAGCACTTGGCAGGCAGAGGCAGGCGGATCTCGTGAGTTCAAGGCTAGCCCAGGCTATAAGAGCTAGTTCCAGGACTGGCTTCAAAGCTACAGAGAAACCATGTCTCAAAAAACAACAACAACAACAACGAAAAGAATGCAAACAGATCCATATCTATGGCTATGCACAACACTCAAGCCCAAATGGATCAAAGACCTCAACATAAAGCCAGCCACACTGAACCTCACAGAAGAGAAAGTGGGAAGTACCCTTGAATGCATGGGCACAAGAGATCACTTCCTAAATATAACACCAGTAGCACAGACACTGAGAGGAACAATTAATAAATGGGACTCCTGAAACCGAGAAGCTTCTGTAAAGTAAAGGACACGGTCAACAAGACAAAATGGCTGCCTAGAGAATGGGAAAAGATCTTCACCCACCCCACATCTGACAGAGGACTGATCTCCAAAATGTACAAAGGACTCAAAAAAACTAGACCTCAAACTATCAAATAATCCAATTAAAAAATGGGGTACAGACCTACATAGAATTCTCAACAGGAGAATCTCAAATGGCTGAAAAACACTTAAGAAAATGCTAAACATCATCAGCCATCAGAGAAATGCAAATCAAAACAACCCTGAGATACCATCTCACACCTGTCAGAATGACAAAGATCAAAAACACTGATGACAGTTTATGCTGGAGAGGATGTGGAGTAAGGGGGAAATTCCTTCATTGCTGGTGGGAGTGTAAACTTGTACAGCCGCTGTGGAGATTAGTATGGCTATTTCTCAGAAAATTAGGAATCAATATACATCAAGACACAACAATACCACTTTTTGGCATGTACCCAGAGGAGGCACACTCACACCACGGGGACATTTGTTCAATTATGTTCATAGCAGCATTATTTGTAATAGCTAGAACCTAGAAACAACTAGATGCCCTTTAACCAAAGAATGGGTAAAGAAAATATGATCCACTTATACAATAGAGTACTATTCAGTTGTAAAAAACAACGGCATCTTGAAATTTGCAGACAAATGGATGGAACTAGAAAAAAACATCCTGAGTGTGGTAATCCAGACCCAAACCGGGTGGTGTTGGCGCACGCCTTTAATCCCAGCACTCAGGAGGCATAGGCAGGTGGATCTCTGTGAGTTTGAGGCCAGCCTGGTCTACAAAAGCTAGTGCCAGGACAGGCTCCGAAGCTACAGAGAAACCCTGTCTCAAAAAACTAAAAAAACAAAACAAAAACAAAAAATATATTATGATATTATGTACTCACTCATAAGTGGATTTCAGACAAAGGACAGACATCCTACTGTCTACAATCCCAGAGAAGCTAGAACCCTCTTCCAGAAACAGATGGAAACAGATGTGGAGATTCACAACTAACTACTGGGTCGAGTTCCTAGAGAATGAAGAGAGGAAGGAGTGATAATATAAGCAAAGGGGTCAAGACCATGATGGGAAAAGTCACAGAATCATCTGACCTGAGCAAGTGGGAGCTCACTGACACCAGACTGACAAATGAGGAACCTGTATATGACCGAACCATGACCCTGAATACAGGTGACTATGGTATGACTTGGGCAGTATGTGTTGCCACTGGCAGTGGGACCAGGATCTAACCCTAATGCATGAACTGACTTTGTGTAACCTGTTCTCTATGGAGAACCTTACTCAGCCTAGACACATGGGCCCAGGGGCAGGGGAGAAAAGGAGGGGCTTGGTCCTCCCTCAATGAGGAGATGAGACAGACATAGTTGACTTCCCAGGGGAGGCCTTACCCTCTCTGAGGAACATTTCGGGAGGTGAGATAGGGGGAAGGTGCGGGGAGCAGGAGGAGAGGGAGGAAGGTTGGGGAACTAGGATTGGCAAGCAAAAATTAATTAATGCAATTTAGTTAATTAAAACAATGATCTAAACAACAGAAATACTAACATGTATTCCATTATGAACACAGTAGGGTCTAGCAACAGTGATATTTTGGCAACTGTAAATTGGCATAGAAATGTTGGTGATATCCATAGATGACAGGCACGGATCTTGCCAATATGCACAAAAACATGAATTTACCAACTTTTCAGAAATATATAAAAATGATATAACGTTCTTCAAAAATTAGCCCTTTGATTAATTCTGGATTCCCTAAGGTGTCCCAAGAACACCAGCTAAAAATCATTGACCCTAAACCTTAACCAAATAAAATGAGTAAAGTTCTAGATTAAAAAAAAAAAATGATCACATGGTAGAAGTAGAGAACTGATCCCTGCATGTTGTCCTCTCCACATACTCACTGTGGCATGAGTGCACACACACAAATACACACATGTGAATTATATGGTCCATGAATCACAGGTCATGAAAAGCTTTTTCTCAAAAGTCATCAATAGTTGGGTATGGTGAGGCAGGCTTGGAACCCTGTCTGGGGAGGTTGAGGCAAGAGTATCAAGTTCAAGACTGTCCTTGACTGCATAGTAATTTTGAAGCCAGGGTAAGCTACATGAGAAAAGTAAATGGGCCAGGAATGGTGGTGCCCACCTTTAATCCAACCACTTAGGAGAGAGAAGAGAATCTCTGTGAGTTCTAGGCCAGTCAGAGCAACAAAGTGAGACCCTATCTCAAAAATTACTTAATCAGTTCCAGTAAAATAAAGAGCTGGAAGACAGTTCAGTCTATAAAATGTCTGCTATACAAATACAAGGACCAGAGTTTGGATTCCCAGGACCTTCATAAGAAGCTTGTCTCTAATCCCACTGCTCATGAGGAAAAGACAGGAGCATCCTAGGGGTTTGCTAGTCAGCCACATAAGCTTAGTCAGCGAGCTCTAGGTTCAGTGAACTACAAAACATAAAGTGGGAAGTCACTGAAGAAGATGTTGACCTTATGCAACTATCCTCATACACATGCATATGAACATACACACACACACACAGTTATCAATGAACATGGCCCTAGTGGCACAAACTAATCCGAGCACTAAAATTTATAAGGAAAAGAAGTTTATTTAAATTGACCATTGTCAAATAAATCAGTAATACATCTACCACAAAGTTCAACAAACAGCTATGCTATAAATAACAATATTATAAAATCAGGTACAAAAAAACTAACCAATAAATATAGAAAAAAGGAGGTTCAGTTTATTATATAAAGAAAAACAAAGTTTACCTTCCAAGAGTTTTTGACATGATGTATTCATCTCTTAATTCCTTAGGATAAACTGACTGATCATCTACAGTCAGATCAAAAAATACAAAAACTATGGGGGAAAAGGACAGAAATGGCCTCGTTAATTCATGGTTAGAAAACTGGTTCTAAAGTTTAACTAAACAGAATATAAAGAACTATATTTATCATGTAATACAAAGTAAAATTTTTTTGTTTATTTTTGTTTTTGTTATTCAAGGCAGGGTTTCTCTGTAAAACAGTCCGGACTGTCCTGGAACTCGCTCTGTAGACCAGGCTGGCTTTGAACTCAGAGATCCACCGGCCTCTGCCTCCCAAGTGCTGGGATTAAAGATGTGTGCCACCACTACCTGACCAAAGTGAATTGTTTTTAATCTATGAGTCAGCAAGAGAGCTCATAGATAATATAACTTGCTATGTATACCTAATGACTTGAGTTTGAACCCCAGAACCCACAGTGGAAGAAAACCAACTCCCAACAGTTGTTATCTGACCCTATATATATAACATCTAAGTCTGCATGTGCACACAAAAATCTCTCTCTTCTCTCTCTCTTGCATGCACACATACACACACACACACACAAATAAATGTAAATAGATAAGTTGGAGATGAGATAGATTAAGACATCGTATATTACCCCCTGGCTTCCACACCTGCACAAACACACACACTCACAGAAAAAATTCAGCACTCAGGAGGTAGAGGCAGGCAGATTTCTGAGTTCAAGACCAGCCTGGTGTAAGCACGAAATTCCAGGACGGCCATATAGTGAGACCTTGTCTCAAAAACAAATTAAAAGCACAACTCAGGCAAGAAAGTTAACTCCTGAATGCTACTGAATGCTAACTTAATCTGACTGATTTAAAGCATAATCTATGAAGACACAAAAATCTCCCTTTACAGAGAAATTAAAGAAAACCCATTAACAGTATGACAATAACATTACCTTTATTTCTACACAAAGAAAGTGCGATTTCAGAGTTGTTACTCAAAGGACGGCGTTTCCCTTTCCCTATGAGCTCAGTGTTTACAAAGGTTCCATTCCCGCTGTGATCTTCTATATACACAATGTAAGAATTTTTAGGGCCCATTTCCTGAAATAGAAAACATTTAATTTCTATGGGTTTTGTTGTTGCTGGTCTTTTCTTTTTATTTTTTTTTCTTTCTTTTTTTTTTTTTTTTTTTCGTTCTTCAAGACATTGTTTGTCTGTGTGTAACAGCCTTGGCTGTCCTGGAACTCATTCTGCAGACCAGGCTGGCCTTGAACTCATAGAGATCCACCTGCCTCTGTCTCCCCAGTGCTGGGATCAAAGGTGTGCGCCACCAGCACCACCACCCTGCTTAATTTCCATGTTTGAACAGCAGGGATTAATACTGCAAGACACCCAAGAGCAATGGCTAGATCACCAGACCCCCAAGGAGAAGTAACTTTCACCTACCCTGAAGATGCGGAAGTGCTTCTTGCTGTACGTCCGATACTTCTCAGTCTTTCTCAGCAGTGGTCCATCAAAGCAATACTCACAGCTTTTATCCCTCCCAAACCAGTAGTTGTCGCTAACACAGTCTGTTAATACAAAAGCACACAGTAGAGGACTGGAAGTTCATATACTAAACATTCAATCGTGCTAACTGTAGGGAGGAACCAGTTCTGTGAAGAGGTGCACATGTGACCCCAGCATTTGGGAGGCTCACAAGAGGACAAGCTCAAGGCCACTCTTATCTACACAGAAAGATTGTCAAAAAAGAAGTGTGTAAGAAGGCAATCAAAAGTATAGATTTGATCACCAAAACCTTTAAAATTAAATATTGGGGAACACTAAGATATAGATCAGTGCACAGTGTGTGCTTAGCATATTCAAGGCCCTGGGTTCAATTCCCAGCAACTAAAAACTAAAAAAAAATTAAAAAAGGGGGTGGGGGGACAATCATACAATTGCTTCGTTTTATTGCAGGTTTTGGGGTGTGGTTAGTTGGTGTTTACAGCAGGGTCTCATACACTCCCAGCTGGCTTCTAATTCTCTCTGTAGCCAAGGATGACCTTAAATTTCTAATCCATATGCCCTCAACTTCCCTGGTGCTGGATTTGCAAACAGGGCCAACCACTCCCGTTTATGTGGTGCTAGAGGTGAAACCCAAGGCTTTGTGCATACTAGGCAAGTGCTCCAACTGAGCCACATCTCTAACCCTATCTGTTTGTTTGAGAGTATCACATAGTTCAGCTGCACTTGAACTTGCTTTGTAGCTGAGGCTAGCCATGAACTCCTGATCCTTCTGCCTCAGCTTCCCACAAGCCAAGATTGCAGGCATGTGCCACCACAACAGGCTGTAACACTTTAACAGGGTTAAATAGCTGGTGGCTTTTACATACCATGCAATGAAAAGCAGTCATTAAACATCTAAAATAATTTTTATGATTTTGAAAAATAATTGTATCTAATGTCTTGCATATTACCTTCCTGAGGCTTCCTATTACATTCAGTATAAAATCTACAATCTTCATGGCCTGCCAGACACTCAGGTCCAGGCACTTGCCTCCCCCAGCCTAGTAACAGATACCACTCCCCTTGCTAACTACCCCCAGCCCCACTGTCTCAATTCCACTGCCCAAGCAAGCTGGGCACACAATATTCCTGTTGTGTAGCAGCTTCCTCAAAGGGTAAAACAGCCACCTTGGAGATAAGCACTTTAAGTCACAGGATGCAAAAAGGAAGGAGAAACGACAAAATATTTTAGCAAAGGATATATACACAAAAAGGCAAAAATAACGGGTTTTTCCTTTCTTTTAATGATTTTTTTAAAGTTTTACTTTATAGGCATTGGTGCTTTGCCTGTGTGCATATCTGTGTGAGGATGTTAGATCCCTAGAACTGGATTTAACAGGCAGTTTTGAGCTGCCACCTGGGTACTGGCAATTAAACTGAGGTCCTCTGGCAAGAGCAGCTTAACCTCTGAATCAGCTCTCCTGCTCCCAACAATAGGTTGTTTTAAAGAAGAAACAACTCCATACTGCAAGGAAGTTCCTTAAGGCAGAAAGTAAACAAATCAAAACAACTTCTGACCAGATTCCCTAAGTCCCTCTCTCCCCAAAAGACAAAACAAGCTGCAAAGAAGAAGACTCTCAGACCATCAAGGTGCCCAGAAGAAACAAACACCAGACGAGATGCCTGGAAGAGGCAGAGACCAACTGAGCCATTGGGATAGGACACTCTCGAACCTGCTGAGCTGCCTACAGGCTGTGTGCAGTGTGCTCCAGGTAGCTTTGTGAGCTGTAACCATGCTGGGACAAACCTCTGGTGATGCGGCTGTCTGTAAGTAACCTCTCATCCATATCTCTCTGAGTAACTCCAGTAAAACTTCAGTGCCATCCATACCATGTCCTAGCTGGGGTAAGTAAACAACTGTTCACTTTCCCCAAGAACAGGACAACAGCACTCCCTGCTCCCTCTCTCCTGTGTTTGCTTTCCCCAAGAACAGATCACACAACACTCTCTCTCCTCTTGCATGTGTACACACATGAAAGTCCAAAACTGAGTCTAGACTACATCTCCCCTAGGCTTTCCACACAAGCAGACCTCCATTTCACTACCTTACCTATTATCATAACAATACCCTGCACTGATACTCTGCAAAGATGGGCCCTTATTTTAATTCCTTATTTACTGTCTTCCTGATACCTTATTCAAGAGTGCAGCTCCATGTGGTAGTGGTAGCAGCGTACCACCAATATCCCTTTTAAACGCAGGTTCAGAATTGCTCAAAATAAATTAGCAAGGTATAGTAGTTATGTCTATAGTCCATACTTGTGATCCCAACATGCAGGAGCCCAAGGAAGAACTGCTATGAGTTCAAGGCTACAATAGGCGATTTAGTGAGTTCCAAGCTAGGATAGGCTATAGACTAAGGCTCTGTCTCCAAAAAGCCAAAGTCAGGCATAGTGGTAATTCTATCACTTGTGAGGTAGAGGCACGAGGTTGAGATTAATGGCCAGCCTAACACACATAGCAAGTTTCAGGTCAGCCTAGGTTTCATAAAACAAAAAAGAGAGTAAGACTTGTATATTGAAATGTATAAAACATTGTACAAAGAAACTAGACTAAATTCAGACTAAACTCTGGGAAGATGCCACACAGTCATAGATTAAAGATAATATGGCTATTAACGTTCATTCTTGCTGGGTATAATGAAACAACTATAATCCCAGCACTGAGGAGGCAGAGGCAGGAAGATCTCTATGAGTTCCAGGCGGACAGCCACAGCTACACAGAGAAGAAACCCTGTCTCGAAAAAGCAAGAAAAAAAGAAAAAAAAGAAAAAGAAGGGGAAACAGTGTTGCTTGCTTTCTTGCTACTAAGTGCATCTATCCCATTATTTCTGCTGCCAACCTTTGCTGCTTCTTTGACCAGTTCTCTAGGAATCCTCCAAGCTGTCAATACCAAACTAGAACTGCTGAGACATCCAGGCTTGCAAACTGAGCAGCTACTAAGCTCTCAGTCTCTGCAACATGAAGAGAACTATTTTTGTTGTTGTTGTTTTTGTTTTTCAAGACAGGGTTTCTCTGTAGCTTTGGAGCCTATTCTGGAACTAGCTCTTGTAGAGCAGGCTGGCCTCAAATTCGAAGAGATCCACCTGCCTCTGCCTCCAAAACGCTAGGATTAAAGGTGTGCACCATCACCGCCCAGCATGAAGAGAACTATTAATGGACTATCCAGGCCATATTGTATAAGCCAAATTAATAAATCCCTTTGTAATTTTTTTTTCTGGTCAGGATGGGGGTGTGGTTTTCGTTTTTCAAGAGAGTATTTTTCTGTGTAGCCCTGGCTATCTTGGTACTCAATCTAGAAAACCAAACTGGCCTCAAACTCAGAGCTCTGCCTGCCACTGCTTCCCAGCACCACCAATGCCTGGCTAATCTAGATCTTTTGAGGTGGTAAGATCTACCTTTACCCCAAACCATATCTTCTGCTAACAGCTAAAGGACATGGAAGAAGGAAGCTTGCTCTCTTTCCTGCTTACTCTCACTCTTACTACCAAGTCCATTCCCTCACTGGCATTAAAGCCTACTTCAACAGGATCCTGGTGTATACTGATAACCAGCTGAGACATCCAGCCTTACAGATTGAACAAATGCTAGATTCCTAGACCTCCCATGGGCAACCATCGTTGGACTAGCTGGACCACAGTCTGTAAGCCACTCTAATAATAATGACAAGTAATTAGCCAGGCGATGGTGGCACACGCCTTTAATCCCAGCACTTGGGAGGCAGAGGCAGGCGGATCTCTGTGAGTTCGAGACCAGCCTGGTCTACAGAGCTAGTGCCAGGACAGGCTCCAAAGCCTCAGAGAAACCCTTTCTCGAAAAACCAAAAAAAAAAAAGACAAGTAATTAAATATAAATAGATTATATATATTCATTTTTTCACCTATGTTCCTCTAGAGAACACTGAATAACATAAATATCTTTCAGAAATAGTTCTGGATCAACTGGATATCCACAAGCAAATGTGTAAATTTGAACCAGGTATGGTTGGTATGTGTAATTCCAGCTACCAGCTACTCAGTAGGCTAAAAGGAAATTAATGCAAACTCAAGGCCATGAGGAACTACACAGTGAATTGCGAGCCTACCTGGGCTGCAGAATTTGTCTCAAAAACAAATGAGTAGCCAAGGGATGGTGGTGCATGCCTTTATCCCAGCACTTGGGAGGCACAGGCAGTGGATCTTTGTAAGTTCAAGGCCAGCCTGGGCTACAAGAGCTAGTTCCAGGACAGGCTCCAAAGCTATAGAGAAATCCTATCTCAAAAAAACAAACAAACAAAAAACAACCCCACAATAAAATACAAATGAGTAGAGCCTAGTGAAAATGAAGTATGCCTATAATGTCAACACTTGGAAAGTAGAGGCAGGGGACTGGAGAGTTGGTTCAGTAGTTAAGAGCACCGGCTGCTCTTCCAGAGGTCCTGAGTCCAATACCCAGCAACCATATGGTGGCTCACAACCATGTATGAGATCTGGTGCCCTCTTCTGGCCTGCATGTCTACCTACAGGCAGAATACTATACATAATAAATAAATAAATAAAAATTAAAAAAAAAAAAAGGAAAGTAGAGGCAGGAAGATCAAGAGTTCAAAGCCAGGCTCAGTGCCATAGTGAGTTCAGGTCAACCCAGGCTACATGAGAACTTTTCTCTGAAAAAAAAAAGAAAAAGAAAAAGGAGGCCAGTCTATGAAACTTAGCAAGATTATATTTGAAAATAAAAATAAGGTAGCTAGGGATAGGACAACAGATGTAGCTCAGTGTAGGCTCTCTAGCACTCATAGGGTCTCGTGTTGGTAACCACAGCTGCCCTGAGTTCATGAAGGACACACAATTTCCTCATCTGCCATAGGAGGCGAACTGTGCCAAGACTGTAGGAATGGAAAACTGGGGTTCATCTATTAGATGCCAAGGACTGGGAAGTGGGATTAACATGAATGGAGTTTGGTTTCAGGTAATTTACCACTGAGTTGAGAAGAAACATGAGAAACAGAAAACTAAAATACAACACAGTATCAGGGATGGAAAGCATTCCTTAGAGTCCAAAGGAGGAGAAACTCAACAGCTCCATAGGGAAGGAATGTTTGGAGCGGGTTCCTAAAATCTCAAGGAGAGTTTGCTAAGTGAAGAGGAATCGAAGGGACTGGGTGGAAACAGAACATTGTCTCTTAGGCATTAGCTAGGCTTCAGAATAGGGAACATGTGCGCAGTCTGGGAGGCGGGCACGATGTAAAATTGTCCAAAGGGTGTCCTAGAAGACAAGCCTTGGCATGAGGACCAGAAGTAATGAAACAAGCCCACGACAGGCAATGACAGCCCACACATGCCATCACAGCCTTTTTTTTTTCTTTTTTTAATTTTTACTTTTGAAACTTTTTCTCACCTCTACCCAGTCACAGGGCCCTGAGATTCCAGTTGCAACAGCCTAACCATCACCTCTGTTTCTCTGAACAACACACTCCACTATATACCAAAATGCCTTACCTAGATTGGAGAATCCATCCTGAAGAGACCATAACCGAGCCCAGGGGACAGGACCAGGATCCTCAGGCTCTTGGTCCTCAGGAATAGAACAGAGCTCCTGAGTGGACACTGTCTCTAAAGAGCTCAGCGTCCCACAGCTGGAATGTGAGGACTGGCTGGAAGATGGCACTGTGCTGGTGGAGGAACTGGATGTGCCTGGAGACTGTGAGGAGAGATCGTGCAATGGAGAGAAAGTGCCACCTTGGGACTGGGAACAGGCACCACCACCATGGGCCTTTGAGGAAGTGCTGCTGGGGAACTGTTGATTCTTCATATCCGACCTCAAAAACAAGAGTCCAACAGTAAGGTGAGAGCCGAGGAACAAGGCTTAAAATTCAAGACTGGAGATTGGAAGCTGCAGGGGATGACTCAGCAGGAAAACACATACTATTCTTGTTCCCAGCACAGCTCAAGATTGCCTGGAACTCCAACTCCAGTGGTCTGAAGCCCGCTCTTGGCCTCTGCAATCACCTGCACACACATGTGCACACTCCCACACACATAACAGAATTAAAATAAAATAAATCTCTACCCAAAGATAAGTGAATATGGATATAACTCAATGGGAGATCATTTGTCTAACGGATGCAAAGTCCTGGATTCCACGCCCAGTTACACCAAACATACAAAATGAAGAATGGGTATATGAAGGGGCTGGAGAGACATCCCAGCACCCACATCCAGGAACGCACAAACACCTGTAATTCCGGCTCTTGGAATACAATGTCCTCTGCTGGCCTCCGTGCGCACTGCACGGACTTAACAAACGACTTGAAAAAATAAATTTTTTTTTAAAGAAACAGGCATATTATGACCACCTATCTCAGAAAGGCAGGGCCGTTGATGAGCGAAAACAAAAACCAAATCACAGCAAAATTCCAGGATTATGAATAGTTTATCGGCCACTTACACAGCTTTAGGTGTATAAGTGGCCTTTCCTTTATGTACAGAAGCTGAGGATGGCTGGTTGCCTCCTTACCACCCTACCCCACAAACTTGCTTACCCTCTCCAGTTTCTGCAGAGCCTAGCAGCGAAGACTGGAGTCTCAGTAACTATTTGGAAAGAATGAATCAAGGGCCTGGCATGATCACTAACATTTATAATACTCACTACGAAACTACTTCGCTCTGCTACTCTGTGCCTTCCCATGTGTCCAGACCTGTTTCAGCTTGTAACACGGAAAAAAGAATTTCTCCTCGAAGAGCAGCTAAAAAAGGAAGAGCTGCCTGCGCGCAGCGCCTCCTCGCACACAAAACCAGGCAGAAAAAGCGGAAGCTGCGGAGGGTTCCCTTGCATAAGACCCTGAGAACCCGATTGGAATCTTCAAACACTCAAGAAAAATTTCCCGCTAAGACTCACCGCGAAAGAACACCTGGAGCCACAAACACCCTACAGCGGCAACCAGTGGTGTGGCGCTAAACCTTCCATACAAACTCCACCCTCAGCCAATCAAAACGTCTTCCTCCTCGGCAGGCCCAATAAGAAGACACAAGTCGGTAGCAACACGTAGCCTCAAGGCTTAGTGGGAATTGTAGTTTAGAATGCAGAACGGAACTCGGTAGCCTAGTTTCTCGAGACTGATCCCGCCTCCTCGGCTCCCTAACCAATCAGCAACGAGTCACTTTTTCTTCCTTCCCCTCGGGTGCGAAGACCCAGGCCAGACAGGCCGCTGTCCCAATGTGGAGCTCTGGCGCTCGGGCTTTGCATTGCGTGTGGGAGGTGCGACTTGCTGGGTTCCTGGGTAGAAGCTTGCTGAGCACCAATGCTGCCTCGGGGAAGAGCAAGGCGCAGCAGTGCTGGAACTGCGGCAGCGCAGGGAGTGTGGAGAGTGGGGATGGGTTCTTCTGCGAACACTGCCGCGCGTTGCAGCCTCCTGACCCGACTCGGGACTACTTCAGCCTCATGAATTGGTACGAGCGGCGCGGAGTGCTGGGGGGCGAGCCGGCCTTGGGAAGTTCGGTTGGCCGAGTTAGTAAAATTAGACAGGCGTTACCCTAGTGACCAAGATTTGGGTCAGCGCCGGCGGATTTATATTTTCTTTTCCAGCCAGCTGGGAGACTGCGGCAAGAGGACCACAGTTCCAGGCCAGTTTAGGCAATTTACCGAGACTGATTCAAAATAAGAAAAAATGGATAAGTATATAGTGTAATGGATTTGCTGCGGGTCCCCAGGACCCCTGGCAGCACTCGGGAAGTGGGGGCCGGTGGGTCAGGAATTCAGGACTAGCCTCTGCTGCCAAGGTACTGTTTTTAAACACCAGCAGCAACAACAAAGGGGAACAGGCACAAGTTTACATTATAGGGACGTTTGAGGGGCGGGTGTTATGGTTTAAGTAAAAAGCTGCAAGTTTCCCGAGGAGTGCAGTGGCAGAAATACTGCAGGGGCTGTCCCTAGATCACGAGGGGGCTTCTCTCTTAAAGGGACAGGACAGACAGACCATTACAGCGAGACTCCTGGAAAAAAGGAAGTACAGACAGAGGCTGAACTCTAGGGAGCCGAAAGGAGAGTTTGGGAGGTTTTGTTTAAAAAAAAAAAAAAAAAAAAAAAAAAAAACAGCCTTGGCTGCCCAGTGGTGGTGCACGCCTTTACGGATCTTTCCGAGTTAGTGCCAGTACAGGCTCCGATGCTACAGAGAAAAGCTGTCTCAGGGAGAAAACAAACAAAAAACAGAAACAAAACCTTTAGCCATTAGTTCTGCCTGGCCTGGAGCTCACAACATCCACCTGGTCCACCTGCCCCCTACTCCCCCACTGCTGGGATTACATGCATGCTAGACTGAGGTAGAAAGATTCCCAGTTGGAATCCAACCACAAAATTAGGGGACATCTCATCTCAAATAAGTATTTTAAAGGAGAAAATAAAACTAAAAGAAGCCAGGTGTGTTGGCGCATGACTGAGCACAGCACTCGGGGGCACCAGGAGGATTGCAAATCTGAGGCAACCTGAGCTATATAGCAAATTTGAGAGTCTGGGCCACATAAGACTAAGTCTCAAAAATCAAAAGCAATTAATAAAACAAACTGCTGGTCAGTGGTGGGTGATGGAACACTCCTTTAATCCCAGCAATCAGGAGGGAGAGGTAGGCAGATCTCTGTGAGTTCAAGGCAGTCTGGTCTACAGAGTGAGTTCCCGTACAGCCACAGCTATACAAAGAAATTCTGTATCAAAAATAAATGAAGTGTAGTGGCATATGTCTGGAATCCCAGTATTCAGGGATGAAGAAGAAGGGTCGCAACTTGGAACCCTGTCTCAAAAACCAAAATTTTAATTCAGGCTCAAGATTGAGAGAGAGAGAGGCCAAGAAATGTTTGTGGTGTGTGTGTCCC